TGATCTATGGATATAAATGACCAAATAAAATGAAAGGATGTAAAAATGTCACGGAAACACCAGCCATAATCTAATGTTGTCAGTGAACTCCACACACACCTTGTAATTACTAACACATTTGGCCTACAAATACTTTTTAGACAGGGGAGCCTACCACTTCTGTACCTTTTTGCCTACGCTGCTTTTGATCCCTCACAATTGATTTAAACTATTCCATCGCTTCCTTTGCTTAGAGAAATAATGATGAGATGATACCACAGGGTGAGGGGGAAAGGAGATGGGGGTGTTTACACACATGCCAAGCAGATCTATTTGCAAACTTTGAGTAAATTAAATAACACAATAAAAGTCCTAACCTGCTGGAAGCTTTTTAAGCTCTTCTCTTTTCCTCCCTGCTTCTTCTAACACACACGTTTCTCCTCCTTTCACAGCATTAAACTGCTTTTCCACTTCCTTTACAACAGTGGGAATACTTCCCTTATGGGTGTCAGGATCTTTCGAGGAGGTCAGAGGTTGCCCTGCAGAGGAAATGACAAGCTGTGAAATGTAAAAGAACAATTCCTTCCACATGTTTCCTTGCTCCAGGAGCAGTAAGGGGTTGTCGGCTAGCATCATGATGGGATGGTCCAGGTCTTTGCCTAGCAGTCCTGTCAAAACTAATTTACATTAAAGACCTGCGCAACTGTTTAAAGCTTTACAACTTCAGCAAGTTTCAAGGACTGCCAACGACAAGTGGTACAAACCAACCTTATTTTAACAGCCAGGCAGGCAGACAGAGACTAAAAAAAAGGCTCGTAATTGTACCTTAACCAGATAAACTGTATACCTGAAAATTATTCTTCTGTATAACATTTATTTCTATTATAAACTCATCATTTGGGAATTGAAAACATTTCAGCTCTTCTAACTTTTCGTCTGGTTGATGCATGCAGCACATAAGTCACATGTGCTGCTGTTATGCAACAAATCTTGTAGGGGAGGGGAAAAAATGAGTTTAAGAAAAAAAAAATAAGCTATTTTTCATTGTAAGGAAATAAGTGTCCTTAAATCCATTCTCAAACAGCTGAGTTGTCTTTTTTCTTTACACTGCCAAAAGTACAGCAGAACAGGGAGAATGAGGGGACAAGCAGACTTTCTGGAAAGAAAATGTTACAGCACAGAAAATCTGTATGCAGGTGTTTAGTCCAAAGACAGTTGAGTCTGTGGGAGTCTTTCCATGTGACAAATCTCCCCAGCAAAGCAGTAATAACAAACATCTCTGCTATCCCAGACACTGAAAGCAATGTAGTCATACTAACACAATACTGTACGCAGGAAAATACAGCCTGTGTTACAGCTCTACTATACAAAGATCATCCTGCTGCTGAGGCCAAACTAGTCTGGCTACCTTTGAACATTTTCCTTCAAAACCTTGGCTGATAACACCTCTCCTCCAACAGAGCCAGGCTGAGAAAAACTCCCATCTTTATTTCACTCTGTCGTGCTTGGGATAGCTTCTGGTTAAAAAGATGTACAATTGGTCATGACTATTTAAATATAGGTATTGATTTCTGCTGTAATTTGACCGAAACCTGCACACAGTTGGGCACAAAATAATTTATTGTTTCAGTATCTTGATCATCCTCAGCAACTCTTCTACCTTCTCCCTTGTAAGGGAGGAGAACTTATTAGGTCTTGACTGCATGTCATTATATGCTAGTACACTGATCACCATAACTTCAGGACTTCAAACTGGCCAATATAAAGAGGTGTAAGTTACTAGAATGGGAAAGGTTTTCCTCTGGTTCTACAAGCTACCAAGTGTCAAAGTACAATATATATATAAGTATATATAATATGGTTTTGTACTTGCCTATTTTATTCGGTCACCATTTCTGATTGGCACAAATAGGTATTTGCCAGAGTAACAGCCCAGACAGAAAGCGACTATTTAGAAGAATGTTCCCAACAAGTGCATAGTAACACTTCCCAAATGAGCCTGACTCCGACCTAGAAGTGTTTGAACTGGATAACAAATATAGGAGTGATGTTCAGCTACTTTTCTGAGGATGAAAGATCAGTTACAGAGTTACAGTGACATTTTGCACATGTGAATTCCCTTTTCTATGGACACTGAAGTCAAAGGAGATCTTGCTTTGGATGTCACAGTGAGAAAAAGGGCTCTACTGAAGAATTTCTATATTTAATTTTTTATATGGAAAGCCACATTTTTCTGAAGTTTTTATGCATTTAGAAGAGTGGGTGGGTTTAGATCTAAGCCTATCAAGGCAACGTTTCTGTTTTTTTCATCAAATCTTCCTACCTATACTTATTCTGTTAAAGTTGTTACCTTCCACACAATGGCTAATGAATTCCACAGAAAAAAATGTCATTTATTCATTGACAGGGACTATTGATCCCTTTATGGGACAACAGAACAGCCACAGAGGCTTTTCTCAAAAAAAAGGAAAGGATGGTGGTCATGAAAGCAGAAGCTGTCTTTTTCCATGAATCTCTCATGGAATACCACTTCAAAAGAACAGAGAGAAAATACCATTTGGACTAAAAGATATGCTAGATCTGATACTGTGCATCTGTGATCAACCAAGGAGGTAGAATGGGAGGTATTGGGTTGTATTCCCCTGCACTGTACTCTGGAAGAAAGATTCTGTGCAGCAGGAAAGAGCCATACCTAGCCCAACGCAGGGTTGTGGTTTAAAAGAATAATGCAGCCTGGAGTTAATGGAAATAATATGAAGGTTCTGTCTTAAACTTCTAAAACAAACACAAATTTGAAGTGAAGGTTAAAATATTATCTCCTAACCTGATCTGTTTTCTTATATGTTGCAGTACCATATACAGCATTGATATGTAAGACCATTCACTATTTAGACTACTGCAGTAGAGTGAGTTACAGAGCACTAGTCTTCATTTAGACTGTTCTTGCTTTCTCTGGTTTGTGTCTCAACTTTAATGTAATTTTAACAGAGCTTTTCCCAACACACTTTTGGTGGTTTAACAGATATAAGATAGTATTTATAGAGCATATCAATGCACGACAGCTTGCCACAGATCATAAACACATTTTTCTGTTGGAAATGTTGGAAGTTGTGATTTTCACCATGTGATCTCCAGTTCTCTAAGGTTTGCTCCTTTAATTGTAAATAGCCAGAAAGTCATCAAGCTAGCATTTAATAAACTTTTAATTTTAAATGGATTACCACATGTTGTGTTTGTTTACCCATTATTAAATCTCTTAGCAACATATCACCAGCAGAAACAGCATACTGTAGGACTGCATAGACACATTAAAAAACAAACCCATAGGGGATATTAGCAGCTAATAATACCTTTAAAGAAAACTCCAAGAAAAATAAATAAATATAAACAATATCAAAAATTACTCCTTAAAATTTTGTTAGTGCAAATCTGTTTGGCATGGAAATTGCAGATCTTCCATGATCAGCTTATTAGCATATTTCAGAGGTCTGCACACAAAATATGATATATACTAATGCTCTTTGTCAGTTCTCAGAAATACATCTTCTGGACTTCTCAAACTGCATATCATGAGTTTTTCCCATGTGTTTCCAGAATTGTGACCTGTTAAATTGCATCCTCTATGTATACATGTGCTTCTGCATGCATGTGAAGACTGATGGTAGGACCAAACAACAGTAAGGACAAGTTTGATTTATTAAGAACTTGCCCATAACTCTTCTGTTATGAAGAAGAAAAAGAAAAATTTTGTTGAATGTTGAGAAAAATTGTCTGCAGCTCCACTTTTTGAATATACTCTTCATGGCTTTGTGCTGCATCTCAGTGCACCATAGCAGATATGTAGAAGATATATGGCAACAAAAATGACCTTGCTCCTCAGTACAATGCATGTTTACACTTCCATGCTGCTGGTATCAGGGTGGTAATATAAAAGCCTTTAGATCACAGTGCAGTTACTACTAAGCCTAAAAGCATCATAAGGCAAATCTCATTTTCTCTATATCCTAAATCAATACTTACTTTCTGAAAAATAGTTTTACTGGCCTCTTTTCATGTTATGCTTCCAACCTGAGCTGCCCATTCTCTATGCTATATGACTATTGCTTATCCGCTCTCTTTCTTTTTTTTCCAATATCCTAGTCTTTCTCCTCCCATGCCTTCCACAATGCATCACTGCTGATGTTCTCAAATGCCTGAAGAGCTAAACCTCAATTTCAGATCTGCAAATATGTTTCACAGACACTACGACCTGCATGTTGGCTGCATCCTTCAGTTCATTAAACAAGAGTGAATATAAAAATGTCTGTATATGACAAAGAATTATTTTAATGCATGGAAGTCAGATCCCACATTATGAAAAAGAAAAACAAATAGCAATGTCCTGCCATTCTCATTCTTGGATTTCTAACAGAGTCCATTGCAATATGGTCAATTATGTATTCAGTGTAGCTACAGCATGAGACTCATAGAGGCCAGGGAGGATGCTCAGTCTACAAGTAACATTCAGTAATGTTTTTAAGAAAGCTTCTGGGAGATCTGCTGCAGATAAGCAAAATAATAATTTGTGTTTTCTATGAGTTACCACTTGATTGAATCTTAATGGGATTTCGTAGGAGCAACATAAGGCATACCGCTGATGCCAGGACTACCTCTCTGACAAATCTGAAGGCCCAGCTGTAGCCCAGGGAAGTGCTAGAGTTCTTCAAGAAATAATTAGACAAAAATGTATCTTTTCTTTTTTTTTTCTTCATGTAAGTTTGGTGTTATAAGCAGCTGAATTTTTATTGCTATGATTTTCCAAGCATTATTTAGTCTCAAACAGAGGCCAGAATGGAAAGTTTCATCCTCAGCAATGAGGCTGGTTTAAATTGCTCACAACTGAAAATGAAGTTAAGCAATCTTAATTAAAAAAAAAAAAAGAAATTCACCATATTTCTGCTATAATACATATTGGACCAATATGTGAATGAGGAAAATCTAGTTTAACAAGACAATAACGATAAGCCAACACTAAAATGCAACTATGGGTTGCTCCAATGAAAGCCTGAATAAAAACATGAAAGTTTGAATCCATCACCTTGCAGTCCAGGCTGTTCAACATTCTCTGAGACACCATTCTTTTCAGCAGTGCTTGAATACATAACATGTTCGGGCAGGAGATTAAGATGCATACCACGCTTACTTTGCTCATCTGAATCCTGTGGTAGTTTAGTTATCTATTACAAACAGAAAAAAAAAAAAAGAAAAAAGTGAGAATAAGCAGAACACACTCGTTTGTACAATATTTGTGAACCCTAGAAGCCTGAGATGCTTCTATAAGGATTTTAGGAAGTTTTTGTTTCTCTTTACTCTGTTTACTAACTTACTACTAACTTACTTAAGTTTTGCCTCTCATCTGTTTCCCAAGTACGCCTTCTCCATGCTTACTGACTAAAGGCAGACATCCCAGTAAATGGGTGTGACTCACAATCCAAATTCAGAATCATCTGGGAAAATATAGATAGCCTGGATCACTAAATCATCCCAGCTTACACGTTTTGTTTGAAGACTAATTTTGCAGCTTTGGGGCCTACCCCTACTACCCTACATTTTGACTCTTGTCATTTTTATGCCATAGCTTTACTAATGTCATTTCTGAAATTCTCTTTCCTAGCATATCTTAGGTATATTTTAATATATGTATATAAATTCTTATTTATCTTCATGATTGTTAAGCTATATTCACATTCTTTTATTCTCGGTAGACCCCAAAATTAAGATTGCCTGAAAATCATCACTACAAGAAAAATAACAACTACATATTCTATTCAGTAAACCCCCATGTTATAATTCAGATGCCTTCAAAGTTCATCTATTTTGGTGTGTTTTTTCCTGAGCCAGACATAACTATAAAAAAAATATAAGTTTGAGGTCTCGTTAAGATTCTGAATGGGGGACTGTACCTCACTTACAATAAAGGCCTTAATTTCCCAGTCCAGAAAGAGAGAATGCTTTCGCTGAAAATAAGTTCTTATTTCAGAACCATTTTCACCAGAAAGCCAAAAAATATCACATCGTGAATAGGTTTTGGACATAATTCTAAGTAAGTTTCCTACCACAACAGAGCCTTGTTCATTAGCTGGGGATCCCAGACAAACAATATCAAATGCAAAATTATCATTAGAAAAGTTATTTTTGTTTTGTAGCCATGAAGAAGTACCTCTGAGATTTCCTAAAACGGTGGACAAAATTAACATGTACTGGTGGCAGGCTCAAACTGCTTTTATTTTTTTTTTTTCCAAATTTGATCTAATTTTTTGATCCAATTACTCAGCACCCCAAATAATACTTTGATATTTGAAATAATACTAAAATCTGGCTGCAAAAAACCCCACTAATTTCATGTAAAAGTTGGAGATGCATTTCATTTTCTTTATATACCTATTGGGTAGGCTGATAAACTGTTTCTTGGAAAGACAGTATTGTTTTTAGGGCTGACAGAAGGAAAGTGGAATCTGTTCTGGGGGACAGTTACTAAAAAAACAGGCCTAATTTTTCTAAATACAAACCTGGAAATAGAGATTGCATAACCAGTGATCCAAGTCTTGAGAAATTAAATTTTCAATTTTCTTGAATCGGTCAATTTTGGTGTCATAATGACCTCTAAGGAATGGACACTTAAATTTTCCCTCCAAAGTATTAAAATTGTTGTCACACACAGGAAAAGCTCCCCATCCCACTTCTCGATCAATCCAAGTATGTGTCCCACGAAGAAGGAAGAGTTCAAAAAGGAGTACCATGCCTGGCTTCACAGCTTTTGTAGGTGGTAGAACCTAGCAAAGGAGAAAAAGAGAGATGTATTAGTCATAAAAACATCACAACCAGCTTTCTTGTATCATATAAAGCTCTACAAACTTCACAACTTTGAACCAATTTTGCACACTAAAACAACAGCTCTTTCCACCAAATAATGTATTTGAACAATTTTTCACTCTGATAGAAAATGTTGTGGGTTTTTTTATGTTAATTTTATTATTTCATTTTTGCCCTTGGCTTTTTGAAACTGTTCACTTTCTGTCTTTATTTATGGGTGGTGGAAAAAGATTGCCACTAGAAAACTTCAAGACAGAGAAACAATAAAATTTGGAAAACTGATGTGTCCCTGTGAGGGCTTACTGAAATTCAACGGCTTCTTCTTGCATCAGCCTTGGAGAGCTCATCCAAATACCCAATGAGAACACTAGCAGTCTTGCTCCTCTCTGAGTCATAAACTCTTCTCCACCCAGTTCTGGGAATAATACTGGTACATAGTAACCCTCCTCCTCTAAATTAAAGCAGGAAAACTCTTTTTGCAAAGTATGTGAACCTCATGGTAGTGTAAAAAAGAATTTTGAGGTAATAAACTCAATAAATACTGTTTACACTTTTCATAAGATAGCTAAAGATATTCTTCTGAGCAGCTTGGAGCTGTGGAAGAGGGCTACCACTAGGGGCCTAGAGCAATTGTGTTCCCATGGCAAAGACTATTCAAAAGGTCAAATTAAACAAAAAACCATACAAAAACTAGAACAGGGAAGGTGATTACCATCATACACTGGCTAACAGCTCTGAAGGGTAGCCACTTGGGGACAGGGGGAAAAAGTACGTCAGCTACATCTCTCAAACACCAAAATTTCTCCTTTGTCATTGCTCCTACACATTCTCCTGGATTATAGAGAGCTAGGACTGCTTCATCTCTTTAAAAAGTTCTCTTGGATGCTTCCCTAATAGAGATATTGTTCTGTTATTTGAATGTTTTCCACATTTTTTTAGTTGCATTTCAGTCCTCAAAGTTCATAGCAGCAAATGCCTTAGTATGCTTGCCTTGCAGAGACTCCTGCTCAGCTTTTCCTTGCCTTTCAAGACAAGGGAAGGCTGTGCTTAAGAGAGAAAAAGGAACATTTTTGTCTTCTCTCTTCCCTGGGAATTGGTATATACTTGCAGAATACCACCACATTCACGGGTATCCTCTAAGTGTCTTGTACCCTTGGTATTTTTTGAAACTCAGAATAAGACCTCCAAATAGAATGCATCCATCCAAACTGATCACCCACTATTAAAAATGTAAAATGACGAAGTTCTCTTATATTAGCAGAGATTTCCTAAATCGGACAACATTCTGCAGCTGATAACCAGCCACAAACCTTTACTACTTCAAATATTTCTGCACATAAATACATACCTCAATGCAGCTCTTTCTTGACTGATATTTTTAAATATAAGTACCATTTTTATATTCCCAATAGAACAGTATGAAAGACAATAAGCACAACTCGAGTACAGCCAAACTTTTTCTTCTTTTTCAGAAGCAGCTAAGGAATTTACCCATAATAATAACTGCTATGTTAGGAAATGATACATGTTCATAGTTGTGCTGCATTCTGTATTTTTTAGGAGATAAATATAAACTAATATTTCTAATACTATGCCTTCCTGTTTCAAGTTATATATTAGTTTTAGATAACAGCAGTAGAGAGGAAGTAACTTAAGGAAATCCTTTAAAACTATAAATATTGTCATTATTATGTAGGTGTACTTTATATTAATTATGTAAATATATTCTAAGACTTAGTGTAGGCTTAAAATGAAACAGAAGCATCTGTTGAAAAATGCCATAACCCTGTGGCAGCTGCTATTAAACCATTAACAGTATCAGGTTTCATTTAAACCAGATTTACCATTTTCTGTAACAGCCCGTGGGAAAGCTAAAAACATTAGGCACAAATTACTGACAAAAGAGATCCTTAATCAAGCCATACATTTCATTTGGCTAGCTGGGTGCTAGACAATAACCTCTGTGCTACAAAAAAAGATGGTGGTTACAAGTCTAAGACCAAAGACAGTTACCTGCATTATTGAACAATCCCAAAGCACACACAGCTAAAAGCACTGCCATCTCACAACATCCTTTTTGTTTTCTCCCTTGTTTCCCACACTTACTATTTTCTTAATAATAACTCAACAGTATATGCTCTGTCGCAATTCTGCCTATAAACAAAGAGTGGTCAAGAAGTTGGTGTAAGGGTAATCATTGTGACTATTAAAAGTTTATTTCTTTGCTTCCTGCTCACAGTTATACTTCATTTGCTATAAGCTCTTATACTGGACACAGACTGCAAACTCACTCTTTCAGACAGGAAACATCCCTTTGCTTACAGTTACAAGAGCTGGGTATTTAAGCCAAGGAGTTCTGTCACATGCCTGTGTACTACAAAGACTGAGGTTGTAAGGATTATCATTCTAGGAGTCCTTATGCATGAACACTGGGTCTCTGGCCCAGGTAGAACAGTATCACACATCTGTTTGCACAGTCAAATAAAACATACCTACAAGTAATAAAATTCTTTCTGTTGAATATACAGAAAAATCCCAGCTAAGTCTCTACCTGTTACTCTGTGCTAATGTGCCAAGCACTCACACAGGTTCCTATGGGATTTTATTTCCATCCTGACGACCACTAGAAGTGTGATTTGTATGAAGGAACTGCTATTTAGGAAGGGACAGCCAGGCTGAAGCAGAAAATTTCAAAAAGAAAACAGGTCCCCTCAACAGCCTCCAGGCTAAATATATTTCCATCACCACGGAGAACTTACATTTCCATCACAGCTCACTGTCTCTCAGCCAGAGAGTGAGGCAGGCCTGGGAAGAAGCCCAGTGCTGTTCCGCCAGCCCTTCATTAGCCTCCTCCCCGGCAACAAGCCTGGGAGGAGGGATTTGTGGTATTGACAACACACAGACCCATCAGCATAGGTGCACAAAGACATTTAGGCACATTGCTCCAATTGAAATCCATGGTCCTTGAGTGCCTGCGTGCCTCTGTGGGTTTGGGCTGTCATGTTCAGGTACAGGACAGGGAATAGCTCAGGGGTTAGAGGAAGAGGAGGGGAATCAGTAATTGTTCTCTCTCAAGAGACTCAAGGCAGTGTTCAGGACAGGCAAGGCACAGACAGCTCTAACTGGCCAGTTTGCTTTCATGAACTGTTTTGCTTCTGAAAGGAGTTTAAAAAAAAAAAAAAGGGGGGGCAAATAATAATAAAAAAAAAAAAAGTAAAAAAAAAATCAGTAATATTTTCCCTGCTGGTGGCAACTTCTTTTGAGGCACTATTTGGTAAGTCAGTCCACAAGTCTGCACCAACACTGTTGATGTTCAAAGGCAGCATACTGTGTAAACACAGCATCCTGGGTTTTAATAGGTCTACTCTTTAACACCACATCTTACCGTTTCTCTTTGCTCAGGTAAAATTTGCATTGAGGTCTGTGAGGTATATAGCCTTTTACAGTGCTATGAAAGCATCCAGTGCCCATTTCCTACAGCTGTAATATCTTCTGCAAAGAGAGATGCAGCAGAGAATAAATAATGCTATGTATGCCTGCACAGGCACAAGTAATTCTTCTTAGTCTGCAGTTAACAGTGTTGCATTTAATTGAATTAAATCATAGTGAACTAAAATTATCTCTTGCCACTATTTCTGAATTCAACTGTTTTATATCAGTTTTATTGTAATATATCTTACTTCCCCATATGCCACCATAATTTCAGCAAAGAAATTGTTTACTCTAGAGGGAGAATGAATTCTATTTGAATATTTCAATAAACAGACCCAGTATGAGGATTTCAGGTTTTTTGTCTGACTTACTTTTAAGCTTTAACCTTGTCAGAGAAGAAATAAACCTTTGCTTCTCTCCTCTACGCCTTCAAATGCTTTCAACTTTGAAGAAAAAGGACATTGCTTGATCCATGTAACACAAAAATTTGACCACTAAACATGTACAACTCAAATGGATTAAAGTGAATTTGAATATTGAAAGGTAATTCAATGTTTACTTGTTACACAGAAGAGCCTCGCAAAACACCATGAACAGCTCATCATTTCCAGTTATGAAAACTGCAGCAAACAAATCTCAGTGGTGTATAACACAAGTAGAAAACCTTTTAAATAAGAAGCAATTCCAATCAAGCTATTTCATTGACAAATAAAAAATCATTTCACTATGTAAAATGAGTAGTGCTGGAGACAAGGCTGTTATTGCCAAAATCAGGTGGGGCTTTCACAACCAGATTTCTAGACCTCCCTGTTGATGCGAAAGGCCAGCATATAGGCAGAGGGAAGGGCATTCATGGGAAGTGTTTGTGTAACTTTGAAATTTATAAAAGGCCAGAGGAAAGGGAATAAAAACACAGACTGAGGTAAAAAATAAAATATCATGTTATTAGGGTTTCCAAAAGTCCTATCTATCATCAGAATGTCCTGGAGTAACTGGAAACTTGCTTCCACAGCCTTCCATCACTGCCTGTCTTTGAACAGGTATCTGAATACAAAATAACACACAAATCAAAGAAAGACCATGCAGCTCCACACGATCACTCACTTCCCCATTTTCATTTTTTTAATTATTTTCTGAAAAAAACAGCAAAACTTTCAAGCCTGGCATAGGTCAAGTCACCTTGACTCTTTCCTCTTTCTGCAGCTTGCGCATCTCCTTAAGCCTTTATGCAGTACCACCATCTTTCCTGTGACCTAGTATCCCAGCCTCCCTGATTGTGGAGAATTACAGACCAGAAGTGGTTGTGGCAGAGCACACGAGCTCAGGATCACAGATGAGCTGCATGGAGTACATGGCAGCAGTATCTGTAAGCAGGCAATTTATTCACTGCTTTCGGTCCTGGAGCAGTGGCATCAAGCAGGATTTTTCCTGACACACTGTGCCAAAGCAGCCTGGCTCCTTCCCAGAGCCACACCAAGTGCCCTGATGGAAACACCTCCTGCTTTTTCCCATGCTATCAGAGCAACAA